CTGTGCTGTTAGCTGCCTCTGATTGTCTTGTAAAAGAAAGGCAGGATGGACATTGCAGTAAACAAACAAATAAATAAGCAAATAAAGATGCCTGTTTAGACAGAAAGACGGTCCTCCAGCTCCCAGCATTCCCCTGGCAGCCAGGTTGGCTGGGAAATGCTGGGAATTTCTTTGCCTCTGCAAATAAGTAACAAACCATTTCTTGAGGGAAGACATGTAGCAGAAAAATGGTTTTGGTTTTGCAGGATACACATCCCGGGGCAAAAGCGCTGCTGGTGCTTGCCCCGTGGAAGCAACAACATTAGGGTTAGGGATGCAAAATGGGGGTGCTCTGCCCCTTCCCTGGCTGGTCAGGAGAAGTGACTTCGGGACCAGGACTCTGCCAGACCAGCACCCCAAGGGTCACGAAGACTCCTCAGTGGGCCTGAACCACTCCAAAGACAAAGAGAGCTTCAATGTGCATATATGTACATAAATCACACACCTTTGTCTCATCATTCACTTACGCTATCTGAAGTTCTCTGGATGGTTTACAGCCATTCATGAAATTCATAAAATGATACAATGAAGTATCATGAAAGTTTTCCAAAATACAAAATTTCTACATCTTGAAAATAGCTAAAATGATGGAGATTAGACCCATAAAACAGCTCAGGTGGCTAATAGTCTTAACCCCTTGAATATCTGTGTCTGTCTTCAGATGCCTCAGCGCAGAGGGCCACCTTAGCCTGGTACTGAGAGGATGACAACGTTGGTGCCAGGTGGACCTAAGTGGGGAGATCACACAATAATCAGAGACCACCACCAAGAAAGCCCTCCCCCTTTTCGCTGCCCTCCAAGCCTCCCTCAGAGGTGGCACTTGGAGGAAGACCAGAGATGTCGAATGTAGTATCTAGGTAGATTACAGCTGGGAGGTGCCTCATTGCAGTCCCGAATCAGGTAAGGTATCATAGGTTAAAGCCTACACCTTGAATTGGCCTTGGATGTGTACAGGCAGTCATTACAAGAAATCCAGAACTGGTCTTATACGCTCTCTCTGCTACATTTTGTCCAAGTGGTCTTACACTTCTGAACAGTCTTCAAGGGCAGCTCCATGTGATCTAATCACAGTAATCAAGTTTACAGATTACCAGAGCATAGATTCCTGAAACCAGGGTGCCCCTGTCCAGATTGTGGAATGCACTCTCCGGAGAGGTTCGCCTGGCACCGAGTCTATAATCTTTTAGGCACCAGGTCAAAACCATTTTATTTAAGTGTTATTTTAAATCAATATTAGTATTTTAATAGTTTTAATCAGTTGCTCTTGATTTAATTTATTTTTATTGGCTGTATATTGTTTTATATTTGTATTGTTTATTCCTTTTAATTTAAATGTTTGCAAGCCATCCTGAGATGCCACGCAGAGAGGATGGCATATAAAAGTCTTAAATAAATAAACAGGGGCACAGCTAGGCCACCAGCTGGAGCTGGAAAAAGGCCATCCATGCCGTGCCACTGGGCTACCTGAACCTCAAGTGACAAAGATGGATCAAGGCAACCTCCCAAGCCACAAGCCTGCTGCTCTAATGGGAGGCCATCCTCACCCAGAACAGGTTCAGCAGCCTCCTTTTGGTCAGAGGAACTGTCCAGCAGCAGTCTTTCCTGGATGGACCTCCAGGCTGCTGGCCCTCATCCAGGCCGTTATTGCAGCTAGAGCCGGTTTAGCATAGCCACAGGCTTGCCGGCTCATGGTCAAAGGGAGAAATATAGCTATGCCTCATCAGCATAGCAGTAGCAACGCACTCCAGATGACCTCACTCAGTAGTTTCATGTAGCTGTTAATAGCATGGGGGACAGAGGAGACCTCTGAAGAACTCCATGTTGGAGAACCCATGGGTGTGGACAGTATTCTCCAAGCTCCACCTTCTGGGACTACCCTACAGGTAGGAACGGAACCACTGCAATACAGTATCCTCCACTCCTGGCTCAACTGCAAGTTTATATCTAAATTTAGAAAAATGAATGCATACAGAAATCAAAATACAAAGATCTGAGCACAATGTGGATGGCTGTCACTTCTTTTCATTGGATGCTCACTGCTGATGGGGAATATTTCTTATGGTTCGCGATCCCCAAGATCCCTTCCACCAGAAGAAGGTCTTCTGTAAAAGAGGACGCATGGCCATTCCAACACTTCAGCCCTGTCCTTGACGCCCACATACCTAGCATGAATGCCGGGACACCCGGACCTCTAGGCCTGCACGGCTCTGTGGGAACTGGGATCGTGTGTGATGGGGTTCGGACTCCTGGGGAAAACCATGCGCCAGGCTTCTCCAGCCTGCCGCCTTCCACGTCTTGCGGACTGCAGCTTTCCCCATGGCCACCTGGGGAGTCACAGGCACCCCCCCGCAACTGCATCTGAGCACAATGAAAAACGCAACAGAGTACAAAGAGTCCCGCAAAACAGTCCAGCGTAGACATCGACAGCTTGCTTTAATAAAGCAGTCTTTGCCTTCTCAGCAGGGAGTTCCAGAGCGGGGGATCAGCCATCAAGAAGGCCCTTTTGCATCACCATCAAACTCACCTCTGTTGCCTCAGAAGGAAGGTCTTGCAGCTATTGAGGCCTGGGCAGGTTTGTATGGGAGCAAGTAGTCTTCCGGGTATGGTCCTCATAGGTCTGAAGCAGTGTGGGACAGTGGTTAGTGTGCAGCCAGTGCCTGCAGGCATTCCCTGCCGTGCAGAGAATGCTGGGAAATGTAATGTATACAAGTCCAGGGTATTTATTTATTTATTTATTTATTAAAACATTTTTATGCCGCCCCATTCGCCGAAGCCTCGGGGCAGCTTACAACAAAAACATTAAAATAACATTTTAAAATATATACAGTAAAATATATACTGGGTAAGGTAAGGACCTCTTCCAGCACAAGTGGAAAATCCAGTTCCCAAGAAGCTCTCTGGGGCTACATTCCAGAGGCAGATGGGGTGAAAGGCAAAATACCAAGAGGCCCCAAATGCCAGCATGTTTGAGTTGCAGTGTCATAGTGCAATTAGGTAAACCTTCAGAGAGGCATTAGAATGGGGCTGGGCAAGAGAAATAGGGCAAAGGCAGTGGGGTTTCATGGTCCAGAGTGCTGGGCTGGGAATGGGGAGGCCCTGGTTCTAGTCCCCATTCAGCCATCAAGCTCATTGGCTAAGTGTGGGCCTGTCACTGACTCTCCGCCTAAGCTGCCTCACAGGGTTGTTACTTGGATACAATAAAAAGAAGGACCATGTAATCCACCATAGGTTCCTTTCATGAGGAAGAAAGGTGGGATGGATGTGTAGCATCACCACCCTCCTGAGGCTTGGTGTGTATGGCATCCCATGTGCCAGGAGAGTAACTAAGCCAGTGGTGTGGCCCTGTTAGGCAACCTGTATGGTGCACGGTCCCCATAGCTTCTTTCCCCAGTGCCCAATCTCCTCCCATCAGGCTTCCCTGCTCTTTCTGAGCTTAGCTGCAGTGGAGGATGGGGTGGAGGAAAGGAGTAATGCAAAGTACTGAATGGAAGAACACTGCCTCGAGTGGGCACTTAAGACCCGTTGATACTTTGGATGCATCATGAGAAGACATAAGTCACTAGAGAAGAAAATCCTGCTAGGGAAAGTTGAAGGGAGGAGAAGAAGAGGAAGACCAAGCGAGAGAGAAACAAGCCCTGAGTTTAGATGGGCTGGGCTGTCATGGATAGGGCAATCAGAAGCGATTTCATTCTTAGGTCACCATCATTTGGAGGGGACTTGCATGTGAAAAGTGCTACAAATCGTTCTTCAAAGGTGCCCACAAAAAATTCAAGTTTACACCTGAGGAAACGTGTTAGTCTGTGCCCTGCCCCAAGGCCCCCACAGCTGTCTTTCAAGAAACTATCTCTGCTTAGGTTACTTCTCCCTGCTGCTGGGAAAATAATTTGGAAAATCTTTTGCTGCAGTCTTAGGCTGTCTTGCATCCCCCCAGCTTCACTATCTTCTTCAATCCCTCCAGCGAAATCCAGAAAGCTGCCCTTTGGCAACTCATATGTGACAATCAGTTGATCTTAATAAATTGGGCATTAGGCTATGTGCTGATGCAGTCTGGGGAACGTGTGGTGTAGGGCCAATTGTGCATAGAGCTGGTGTAGCATAGTGGTTAAATCATTGGGATGGGACTCATCCAGGTTCCACTAACCATGCGCCCTGAAGCTCTCTGCCTGTCTTTGTGCAACTGAGTAACACTCAGCCTAGCTGACCTCAGGGGGTGGTTATTGTGAGGATCAAAAGGGAGCAGTGGACCTTTTTTCTGACTATCCATAGGATTGTATACTTTGTTCATGGAAAAAGCCATGGTGCAAAAGATCCTCGATCAGGAGTAGGCACTGCACTCTGATGGCCTCATTTGTAACAGTAACAATAATAACAGCAACAAATACACAAGTTATCATCACCATCTTCGTTTTAAATGGCTGCTATTGCAACCCTGTCATCATGGCAATTATATATAAAAAAATTAATGGGTACCCATGGCAAGGAAAACTGGGTTACACCTGGTCAAAACACGTGGCAGTCACCCCAACGACTCGGTTAGCATCCAAACCCTGTCAGTGCGCATAATCTGGGCTCCTCGGGTTAGTCAATGCTATAGGTAAACCCCGCCTTCTGCTGTGTAAAAAATCCAATCAGTGCAGAGATCAGTTAACGGACCTCTCCCATCATTTAGCCACCTACTTGGGAATCTATTGTATACAGGAACTGTCACTCTACGGAGTACTTCGGCTCTGTATTGGCCGAATGACCAGCAAAGAGGCGGGAGGCAGTTTTAATTCCCACCCCCTTCTGGCTAGGCGGTCGATAGATTGAAACCGATTGGCTAACAGCTCTATCAACCCGACCACGATACGTTTCTACTGGATTACTTGAAAGGGGGCGGAGGAAAGGGAGAGGCGGAGCGTGTGCCGTACTGCGAGGCTATATAAGGATGGGACAAAGGCAGCGGCGAGGCCGTTTTTTTTTTAATCTCAGCGCGGTCGCCATTTTGTCTTCGGTCGGATACCGAGGCGGGAAAGAGTCGTTTCGCTGCCAGGTACCACGTCAACCGCCACCATTTTCGCCATGTCGAGAGACCGTTTTCGCAGCCGTGGAGGCGGCTTCCATCGGCGCGGCGGTGGCGGAGGCCGAGGCGGCCTCCCGGGGACCCACGACTTCCGCTCTCCGCCACCGGGCATGGCGGGCGGGATGGGGCAGTCCCGTGGCAGCAGCCACCACCACATCAGCGGCGGCGGCAGCCTCGGGGGCCCTCCGAAGTCGGAACCCGCCAAGCCGCCCAGCTCGGCCTCCACCCCTCCGTCGTCCGCGGCCTCCGTCTCCGTCTCCTCGAGTCCGGCGGGTTCGTCGCCTGCAGTGGGGGGATCCGCGCAGAACCAGGTTGGGCCGCCGCCTGCGGCCTCCTCGGCCTCCTCCGTCACGACGGCGAGCTCGACCCCGACCCCCACCACCGCCTCGGGGCTCCAGAGTGGAGGCCGAGGAGGGGATCAGCCAACGCAGCAAGCCGGTGCACCTCCCGGACAAAGCTCCGTCCAAGGCGGCTCCAAAAAAGGGCCCGGCCAGTCTCCCGGAGCGGGAGGCGGAGGCCCGGTCGGCGGTCCGAAGGGTGGCCCAGGAGGCTCCCAGCAGGGCGGCGGCGCCAAGGGCGGAGGAGGGCTCGGCCAGCACCGCGGAGGCGGCGAGAGGCGTGGGGGCCAGAGCCAGCACCACTCCTCGCAGCAGCAGCAGCACTCGTCGCAGCAGCCGCCGCCGCAAGGCCCCGGCGGGGAGAAAATGTCCGATGCGGAGGTGAGTGGCGCCGCGCGGCCCGTTCTCGGCCTTGCAGAGCACCCAGACAAAATGGCGGCGCGGCTCGTGCTCCCCGCCGCCGCGCGGCTCTCCCCGGCGCCATCTTGCCGGGTGGCGGCGCGCGTGCGCCGGAGGGCGGGGGGTGCGGCGTGGCCCCGGGAGGGAGGGAGGGAGGGAGGAAAAGGCCTGGGCGGGCGAAGCCGGGGTGCGGGTTGTGGTGGTGAAGGGGAACGGTGACCTAGGACGTACCCGCTGGGGTTTCGTAAGGAGGAGTGCAGAACGTCTTTGTTTTGCGAGCCGTCACAATTTCGCTTTGAAAAACAGCATGGCTAGTGTGAGGGGGTGTTGCGTGAAGTTCCTACCGCTCTTGAATAAGCTTGGGGGCGTTCAGATCTTCCTTCCTAGTTTCCTGCCTGTTGAGAGCCCTGCGAGGTAGGTCAGGCAGCGTGCGTGGCCTGCCCAAGGTCACAGACGGGGCAATCTTATGCATTTGGGGTGTTCGGATATCAGCTCCCTTTTTCTGTCCCTGGGAGGGGAGGGTTAATCTCGGTGTTTTCCCTCCCCTAAATGCGTTTGCGGGAAGTTTAAGATGTATGATTGGGTCTTTACTCACAAATGTTAATGTCCGCAGGCGGAAAGAGACAGTAATCCATGGCCTTTGAAATGCTCCTTAGGACGTAACCCAGTGCTCAGTGACGTGAGATTAAGCTCCACTGAATTCAAGGAGGATTGCTTTTGTTTAGTTGTGCATAGGATTGTTATACTTGTGGCTGATTGTGAAGGTCTAACCTCTGCTGTGTGTTTTTCATGGTTTGGGGAGCAGAATAGCTCCATGTGAATAAGCATGATACCGAGTGTGGTATAGACGATTAATTTTATTATCATGTTTGGAAGAATGGAGTTAAAATTGTTTTTGGTGATACCTTGGATGATGGAGAAGTTATAAATGACTTCGTAATGGACTTAAGCTGTGAGAAGTTACTTGGCTTTGCTCTGGAGATTGAAATAAATTCTTGAAGCTACGGATTTGGTACTGAATTGGGGTTTGGGGAAGGGTGTGGAATGGACTCAGGCTAGGCTGAGAGTGTTCATACAGAAGCTAGGTTGTATATGTGTATGCTGATAAATATGGGAAGGAGCCTGTGGCTATAGAAAATAAGTATTAAGTTGTAATGGACTTCAGTATATTGTGTAAGGTTCACTTACATGAGAAGGTACAGGGGTGAGTGTTATAATTTCTAACTTAATGATTGTACTGCCAATAAATATTAATGACCAGTTGGTGGTGAAAATGTAATTTCTTTTCAAAGGGTGTACTTTGCGAAGGAAATCAGTGTGAAGAATTTTATTTCTGGCATTGTGATTCGGTAACAGTTCTGGGAAGAGAAATGGTGCCCTGGCTTGCAGCAAGATATGCTTCTTTCCACATTTTAACTGGTTATATTAACATCTACTTATTTTGTGGACTATTTCCCAAATTTACAGCTTGTATTAAAAGTTTTTGCCTTTTATAGTAATACAAATATAGCTTGGACAGTGCCCTGAAACTTGTTTGGCCAAAGGGCAGTTTAGAATTTAAAAAAAATAGCTGGAAAACTTGTACAAAACAGCTTTAAAACTAAGATGGCAGCAACCAGTGCTGGAAATACTTTTCTTTAATGAAAAGGAATATGAGGCAATAGGTCTTAGTGGGATGTGCAGAGATGATTTATAGTAAAGCCAGAAAATTATTTAGTTGGTGAGAAGTATAACCATTTCTCAAACAAATTTTGATTCTTCAAGTGTTGGTCTTTAAGTATGGAAGGAGAAGTACATTTCCTAGGAGCAGCAGAACAGAACTGCTTATCGATTGGGGTGCTAGCTTGAGAGATGCATGTAGTGATGAGGGGTGATAATGCATATGTATGTATATGCTTAATACTATGTGAAATAAATGCTAGTGCACTCTAGAGGAAAGTGGCATCGTATTTGACTTTGCAGGGCCATCAGTTTATATTTTGCATATCAAGCAATACCCAACATCTTAGCAAGTCATGTCTCTCTGTGTGTATTTTAGGGCTTCAAAGCCAATCTCTCTCTTTTGAGAAGGCCTGGAGAGAAGACTTACACTCAACGATGTCGTCTTTTTGTTGGGAATTTGCCTGCTGATATCACAGAAGAGGAGTTTAAAAGGCTATTTTCTAAATATGGTGAACCTGGTGAAGTCTTTATCAATAAAGGAAAAGGCTTTGGCTTTATCAAACTGGTAAGCATTATTTCTACATTGAGTATAACATTTTTATGCAGTAATATTCTTGTACTCTTTGTACAATTAGAGCATTTTTTTAATTCTTAATAATCTAACAATGTCATTGTTATTAACTCATTCACAGGAATCCCGAGCTCTAGCTGAAATAGCAAAGGCAGAACTCGATGATATTCCCATGAGAGGAAGACAGCTTCGTGTGCGTTTTGCCACCCATGCAGCTGCCCTTTCTGTCCGTAATCTTTCCCCATATGTATCGAATGAACTACTGGAGGAAGCCTTCTCTCAGTTTGGCCCTATTGAAAGAGCTATTGTGATAGTAGATGATCGTGGCAGATCTACAGGAAAAGGCATTGTTGAATTTGCATCGAAGCCTGCAGCACGAAAAGCATTTGAACGATGCACTGAAGGTGTCTTTCTGTTGACAACGTGAGTAGATTGCAGTGTTTTGTCTAGTTGTATATAATGGATTGTAGCACTTGGCCTTTAGATAACTGAATGCGAAGGTCAGTACTCAAAAGTAAATATATAAGTGTACATGTGTATTGGTATATTTAACATATTTTGCTTTGGGTTTTAGAACTCCCAGGCCAGTTATTGTGGAGCCACTTGAGCAACTGGATGATGAAGATGGTCTTCCGGAAAAACTTGCCCAGAAAAACCCAATGTATCAAAAGTAAGATTTAAAGTTATATAAATAGCATAAGAACCTACTTTTGGTTGAAGGCTGGTAAGGTCATCTTTTCTTTTTGCCTCAATGAATCTCATTGCCAATTACTAAAAATGTTTTCCCATATTGAGAAATGCTTTTCTTTACCCTGAATTGAGAGAATTTAATTTCTTGACATCGGCTTTTGTTGACAAAATGTATACCATGTTAATTCTGTATGCTTGTATCATAAGTGTATTTTCCTCAAGCCTAATGTAGCTGAATTGTGAAATTTTGGAGGAACTGATTCTGTGCACTGGAGATAAGTTTGCTCAATAGCATATTTCCCTTATGATCTTCAGTGCATTTTTTAATAATTAATCTCATGCTTGAGGAGATAATGTGCATGATAAGCTTTTTCTTGTGATCATCACCTGAAAAAATGGCATGAATTTTGGACAGTACTGGCAGAAATGGAAACAGAGCCACTAAGGAGTGAGAGGAAGGCATAATTTGCAGAAATAAAAAACCCTTAAATCTAGGAGAGCAGTCAGCTAACACCCCCCCCCCAATATATTGGTGACAATTGAGCAATTCTCAGTAGGTGCACAGTGTTTCAGCTGGAACAGAAACAGGAAGGGTCCTTATCTGGCAAGGGAGCGAGGCTGATGGGATTCTTGTATTGGAGCAGTGGGCTTTCTGACAAATTGAGCTACTTGTATTATGATGGTTGACTAAATTGACTTATATTGTGGTTACTGCTTTAGTCAGAGCACAGACATATCTTTATGCATGTAAACTTTTGAAATTGGAGGGTAATCTTGTTCAGAATGGGAGGAGCAGTGGAGGCCATCTTTGCTTCCTCATCTTCCTGTGCATTTTACTCAGATGGACATTTTTGCCTACCTAAAGTGTTTTGAAAGGAGAAAAGATAGCCAGAGAGTCATCAGGATAACATCCTCCTGACCTCAAAGAACAGCCTGTATAGTTTTTCTCTGGTGGCATTGGGGGGGGGCAAGTAGGGGGAGGGCCTGAAACTCTGCCTAGCTCTGATGTTGGAATGCTGTCTCTTACTTTGGAGCGGGGAATCTGAAGCATTGTATGGCCCCTCAGATATTATCTACGGGCCATAGGATCACTTGGTGGTAGTTGCAGTGGGGTTGCACTCCCTCTTAAGGACAAGGTCCGCAGCTTGGGAGTGCTCCTTGATCCAGAGCTTTCGCTTGAAGCTCAAGTAACAGCGGTGGCAAGAAGCGCTTTCTTTCAGCTTTGGCTGATTCACCAGCTGCGTCCCTACCTGGAGAATGACTGCCTGGCGACAGTGATACAAGCATGGGTAACTTACCGACTAGACTTCTGTAACGTGCTCTGCGTGGGGCTGCCCTTGAAGACGGTCCGGATACTTCAATTGGTGCAAAACAGAGCTGCCAGGTTGCTGATGGGGACTTAGTGTTGTGCTCACATAACTCCAGTGCTCCGTCAGCTTCACTGGCTCCCCATTGAAGTCTGGGCCCAATTCAAGGTGTTATTGCCTATAAAGCCCTTAACGGCTTGGGTCCTGGTTACCTAAAGGAGCGCTTACGTCCATATGTGCCCTCCCGCCCCTTGATCGCATTAGGAGGGTGAGCACCTGGAGGAGAGCTTTCTCTGCGGTGGTGCCCAACCTATGGAATGCGCTCCCCAGTAAGGTTCTCCTGGCGCCATCTGTATTTACTTTTTGGTGCCAGGCCAAGAGCTTTTTATTTAAATGTCATTTTAATTGTTGATTTTATTTATTTTAACAACTTTGGCCAGGATGTCTCCAACTGTATTTTATTGTACTACTGATATTTATTTGTAAGCTGCCCCAAGGCTTAGGTGAATGGGGTGGCATATGAGTCTGCTAAATAGATAATAAAATAATTGAACAATATAATATAATTGATTGACAATATAATACTATACATATGAAGTTCTTAGATTGCTGTGTTGTAGCGTACACATGGACTTCACTTTTCCTGAAAGTTTTGTCTTGATTTGATGGCTATCTTTGCCAACATTGCTGCTAACTACTGATTAGTGTAGACGTGTTAACTGGATTTTCAACTGAATTTCTAGGGAGAGAGAGACTCCTCCACGGTTTGCACAGCCTGGAAGTTTTGAATATGAATATTCCCAGCGCTGGAAATCTTTGGATGAAATGGAGAAACAACAGAGAGATCAAGTAGAAAAAAATATGAAAGATGCCAAGGATAAACTGGAAAGCGAAATGGAAGATGCCTATCATGAGCATCAGGCAAACCTCTTGCGTCAAGGTAAAGGGTTCTTAGCTGGTTGGTTTGTGTCCTTTTGACTACCACCTGATTGCCAAAGCTTTCTGGAAAATACACAATTAAAACTTATACAATGTAAATGCATTAAACAGTATAAAAGTTGAAACAGTCTTGTGGCAGTGCAAAGATGTACCAGACCTAAACTAGAAAGCAGAAAAACTAAAAAGGTCTGTCTTGATGCCAAAAAGTGACACCCCATGTAGCAGTTATGTGAGATGCACAGAGACAGTCTTAGTAGCCACTTAATTGCTTTCATTGAGTAAGGGCTTCCGAAGTACTGCTGAAAAAGATCATAGGGTCTAGGAGAGTGTGTATGGGAGAAGAGTGCTTAGAAATGCCTGGAGTTGGCCAACAACTACTTGTTTGCATGTATTCCTTGCTCAAGAAGGTGATATTAGCAACTATCTTATAGTTGTTAGACATAATCTGGAGCCATGTTAGGTTTTTTTTCAAAACAGCTAAATAACTACTTTGTTTAACGTGGCTGGATCCATTCCTTCTCTGAAGGAGTTGGTAGTCCCCTGGATCTATTTGTACCATCCTTCTGTTAAAACATTCAGATTCTGCAGGATGTGGTTCAAATATAGCTACATTATACATTGCAGTGTAGCAGTATTGCAGACTTGCTACTTAAAATCAGGTGTTTTATTTTTGAGAACCTCCTGAATAAATACTACATGCATAATATTGCTGGAAGACTGTTTGGAAGTGTGGTGCTGTGAAATACTGGCTACCTTACTGCTGCTGTCCAGATGTGGTTAAGCTATTGCTAAGTCAGTGTATTCTCACATGCATACATGGCCCTGACTCTTAAATCTGGAAGTTTAAACATCTTTATTTTTAAACACGAGTGCTTAGATGGTTGGCAGCCTGGTGCTTTTTTAAAAATTGGATTTGTCAGTGAAACATGTTTAGCTGTACTCTGGTTCAGACATACGACCCTGAGAAGACTTTTTTGTAAGCCATCCAGAGACACATAGTGATTGGACAGGTTAGAAATATTCCAAATAACAGATCAGATACTGATCACCTGTAATTATTACAATGTTTATAGCAATGGTGATTTAAACCATTTTTTCAGATCTCATGAGGCGACAGGAAGAATTGAGGCGTATGGAAGAACTTCACAATCAAGAGATGCAAAAACGCAAGGAAATGCAGTTGAGGTATGTTACCAGCTTTCAGCCTTATGTTTATGCATTAGCCTGTTAACCCTAGCTGAACATTACTTTATGTGTAATGAGTAGTAATAGTAGTTTGATGCTATTGTGGAAGCTTTCAATTCATAATTTAGTGTATGATAGCATCATGATACAAACTAACAGGTGTTTTTTGAGTCTCCACAGATAAGTTAATGCTTTGAAGTCTAATAGATAATCTGAATTTCAGGCAGGAAGAAGAGCGCCGTAGGCGAGAGGAGGAGATGATGATCCGCCAGCGTGAGATGGAAGAGCAAATGAGAAGACAGAGGGAAGAAAGTTACAGTAGAATGGGTTATATGGACCCTGTAAGTCAGGATTGGAAGAATTTCAGTAATCTTGTTACACAGGTGCCTGTCTTGCATGCTAATCCCTATGAATCCCATCTGCTTAGTTCTGTAGTTGGAATATTAAAATGTTCTAGTTTTGCTTGTGGAATGCAGTGAATTGTTGACAGCCCACAGAGTATTTATAGCTGTCCATGTGTCCAGGAGTGCAGGCTTGTGAAGGGGTTTACCTGTTCTTGAAGCTGTGTATTTTTCTTTGCCAGAGGGAGAGAGACATGAGGATGGGAGGCACCACCACAATGAATATGGGAGGTAAGTCTTTTTAGTTGAATTAGCTCACGCAAATGAACAGTGATCTGCCCTTTGTAATCACTTTTTCCTTTTGTAGATCCCTATGGTACAGCTGCTCAGAAATTCCCACCTTTAGGGGGTGGTACTGGCCTTGGCTATGAAACCAGTCCTGGAGTTGGACAAACATCTATGAGTGGCTCTATGATGGGAAGCGATATGGTAATGTATTCTGTGGCAGCTTGACTTCCGTTTCAAACAGATTTTGCAGATGTGAAGCACCTCTTATTTGTGTTGATCCCAGGTGACCTACACTGAATCAGGATTTCCTTTTCCAGCAGTGTACATAATATGATATCAAAAGGCTTGTTGAGCAGTGGGAAACTGAGCCCACGCTTTGCCAGTATGGCACTCAAACACTTTTGCTGTGGACACCAGCAGACTTTTCTGTGGCTAGTTGGCTTTGGAGTTCTTTAGTTAAGCTTGGAAAGGAACTCTGAATTTTGTGATAATCAAATAATTTGTGGGGGAAAATCACTAGTTCTTGTTGAGTTAGCTTAATGAGCAGAAGTGGCCTTCATCACTTTCTGAACTTGAGTTAACTGTGGTGCATAGAAATGAAATGAATACTTACAGAATAGATTGAGACACACTCTTCCAAGCCAAATTATAAGATTAGTGCATATTGTGAAAACTAAACCTTTACCTTTTTGCTGATGCTTCTGATTAGACAGGTAGTGATTTAGATAGTGTTTTGCCATAGTGTTTGAAGAGAGAAGCAGTTCTCTCTTTAGGTCCTTCATGTTCTGTAATTCTTGATTTGCTTGTTGACTCTCAAGGACAATATATAAATGGATCATGATGTTTAGCCTACTGCTTAAATAACCTGACTTAAGAAGATCCCTGCTGGATAAGGCAAGAGGTCCATCCTGCTCCTCACAGTACCTAAAACCCAATAATGTTGGAATGCCTGCTTAATGCCTTTGGAATGCCCCCAAGTAAGGCATGAAGGCGGCACTTCTCTCCTGTTGCTGCTCTCCAGCAACTGGTGTTCAGAGACATACTACACTGCCTGTGAACATGGAGGTGCTGTATAACCATCCTGACTAACAGTTATTGATGATAGACTTGTCCTCCATGAATTTTTAATTTGATTACCGCTGTACTTGCAGGCTTTGGAGAAATATCTGTATTCACACTCTTCTGTGTGGCACAGTCTCCGGGTCTGCTTGGAGTAATGCAACAGTAGTGCAGCAGTGCCCATAAGTGGTAAATAATACTTCTGCAAACGAAGTGTAGTCAGTGCTTGTGTTGGTGGTACACATTCACTTTTAAGAGTGCGCTGTAACACATGATACCAAATCTTGGTCAGTGGTGGGGGGTGGGTCAAGGCTAATCTGTGCAGTGAAACATTTGCTTCCTAAGTTGAGCTACTTGTAGCTCGTGTCACTTTTGTAGAAACAAATCTCTCATTTTTTTCCAGGTGCTAATTCAGATGGTGTCCTATGGCTGTGACCCTATAGTTGAAAGGAGTCAGCAGTTAGTAATAGGATTTTATTGAATTAGTTTGGTAAATCCTGGATGTATGTTTTCAAATTAACAATATGCACACAGCATATGAAATACTTGAAAGCCTCAGTCATTTGGAATGGTGATACTGGAAAACTGTGCCTGATGTTCTAGTGGATGGTACTTTGCATGTAGCAATGTACTGTGTTTATCTGCTCAAGTATGTAATCTTAGAATCTTACAAGCAAATACATCTGTACACAGGATTTCTTCATCTTTGGTAAACTTGGCCTTTGGGAGGTTAAATTGGCAATCTAATAACTGTAAGACAGTTGTTAGAAGAAATTTAACCGTTATAATATGGTAGGAATTCCAGACTCCTTGTGACTCCATGATTAGATACTTATGCAAATCAGTGAAGGGCTCATGCATCTGATGTGTCATCAGTGATTTTTGTGGTGGAAGCACTCTGGAATCTAGGTTTTGGTTTGTGGAATTACTGGGGAGAAAAACGTGCGTATGAGCCTTTCACATAATAAGTCAGCATCTGTATCTGGTTAAGGGATTCATACAGTTAGTCTGAGGAGTCCCTAAAGTGAATTGGCTCTGTAGTAAGCCACTAGTTTCTAAGCTGACCTCACAGCACTAATAACAGTCTTTGATCTATTACACCCTTCTTTGTGCCTAATAGCTCAATAACAGAGTACAGTAAATAAATTGGTAGGTTAACTGGTCTGCTTTATTGCAGTCTGGGAGATTTTTTGTGGGTCCATGGGAGACTGAAGGTGTTCTGTAACTGCAAATTTATAGTGGACTTTTTGCTAAACTTCATAATGATATTAGAGCCTATTTGGGCTTTATTAGTGCAGTGCAACAACTTTTAAAAGTGCAAGTTTGTTTCCTGCTTTTTTGGCGTCTTTGCTAGAAAAACATTTAGGATCATGTTAATCCTTGTACTAAATTAGCTTATTAACAAAGTTTATCAAAGTCTTAGCAACGGCTTCTGCATTTAAGAGACTGTAATCACTAGTCATTTCCCAAAGGAGAAGGTCTCATGCCTTTTAACTGGTGAGTAGGCATGTGCTTTACATGAGGCAGTTAATGTTTCAGGGAGCAGAACCTGGCTTCTTGCTAGGTTTAGTTGACTGACAACTTTGTACTGCAGTTCAGATGATCAATTAATTGTGGCAGATTACCAGAATTCTTTTCTGAGAGGATTCTTGGTTCAAGCCTATACTAATGCTTGCATTTTTAGCACTTCAGGGAGTATCTGTTTGCTGAAACAGACATTTGAGAATGGATCAAGTTGGGAACATACCTCAAGGCATGTATTAAATTAAACTAATTATTAAATTACCCTTTTTTCCTTTCTATGTTCCCGGTACCTGTGGATCGACTCAATGGTGATTGTATCGACGAACGTTGACTACGGAACCTTCTAAAATATATACTTAACACACATGGACATCAACTACACATAATGAACTCTTAACACTGTTCTAATAGCGCCCTGAGCGATTTGGGCAGGGAGGTGCGGGGCCTGTAGGTGGCCAGGGCCCTAGAGGAATGGGGCCTGGAACTCCAGCAGCTTATGGGAGAGGGAGAGAAGAATATGAAGGCCCAAACAAAAAACCCCGATTTTAGATGTGACTCCTAGATTTTCATTCCAGTTCTGTTTGTCTTGTTTAGACACTACTTTTTTTTAATTCTTGCATTTTAGTAAGAAAGCTACATTTTTATGGATGTTAGAAACTTAATGACCTAGCATTTGTAAGTGGTCTGGGCAAGAAAAATACAATTATGTAATGCAGTGTTCAAAACCTAGCTTTTTGATGTATAACGTCCCTACCTTGATGGCAGTGTACCGTGTGCCATTTGAATTCCCAAGTGTAAACTTTTTTTACTGTGCTTAAAATAAATAGACTAAATGTAGCAATGATTCTTATATTGTAAACTTTGCCAATTGCAGTTTCAAGTATACAGGGTGAATATGCTGCACTTTCCAGTGTGCAGTACATTGCTTGGCTCTAATCTGGTGTATTGCGCAGTATGCCTTAGATGCTGCCATGGCATAAAATGTCTTAATTGACCTACTTACCTACAAGTATGCAATGTTGACCTAACAAGACTTAAACATGAAATGTTACAGGTGAAGTTTCACTCTGCAAAGTCTCTAGCTTGAGTTCTACAGAAGTTGCAGCATTATTAGTGCTTGTTTGAGTTTAGGAACCTCAGTTGCCCTTCAGTAAGAGAGCAAAGGGAAACTTTATAAAATAATCCAGGGTTAACTTTCAAATGATGCAGTCAGATAAGTTAGATTTTACTGAGTAATGTGGGATTTGCTGCTGTGGGTGTGATCTGGTAGCATTTGCTGCTGGGTATCTTAACAGCATTTCCATTCCATGTTCCATAAGTCATGACATGGCTTGTATATACTGATATCCCCTTAAAGGATGGTTCAGTGTGACATTCCTTCAATATGACTCAGTGTATAGGATTTGGGTGACTGAATTTACAGTTAACATTTAATCATGCTTGTCACAAGCAGTGAATATGGGAGGGCACTTGTATTTTTATAACTTGTATCATAATTTGGGAACTGGAGTGCAAAAACGAAAGTATCCTTTGAAACTTCAGGGTTAAAATATTTCATAGAGTCTTGCATTGTAGTAACTTGCCAGATAACATTTGACACTTGGAAGTCTAAATACAAGGGTTGCATAGTACAAAGTTGTGTTGAACCTTGCAGAAGAGTTGCATTTCTCAGCCTTAACTTATTAAAAACACGTGTATGAATTCAAGGTGTCCTGGAATCCATGATAACACCTAAAATGCTGGGTGCAGAGTTACCCAGTTAAAGCACTAGGGGTTGATGAAATTAAGATCAACCTGATTGGAGACCAATTCTTGAGTGCTACATAGCATTTAATTATTTAAATCAGGGGTGGGGAACTGATTTTCTGATGACACATTTATTTAGAGGTAATTTGGAGCTACAAGCCAGCAGTGTGTGAGTCTGGAGCCAAAAAGTGGGCAGAGATACTCTCTTTCTCAGCTGTTTCGTTCCCAGGAGGTGGCTGTGGAAGAACAGAATAGCTTTTGACAGAAATCTAAACTGGTCTCCCCAGCTTTTATTACTCCATTTTGACTGTCTCCCAACCTTCCTATTCTCTTGGTGTTGCTCAGTCCCATAAAAATTAAGCCCTTAGGTCCAGATTCCCCATCCCTGCTTTAAACACCTTACTTGGTTTTGAGAAGAATGGACTGCCTTAAAGTTTTTGTAACATCAGTGGGTAAAGTCTTGGTGCCATAAGTTACTAAGCACTTTGACTATGCAAACTTGTTAGTACAAAGGTTATGTGCTAAGCAACCAATTTAAATGCAAAAATGCCGGTAAACTGTTGATCGTCAAGGTTGCTGGATGATTGCTTCTAATAGAGTGTTGTGGTTGGATGGTTCTGCATTCCCAGATGCATTCAAGAATATGAAAGATGAAGCCAGCTGCTATTTAAACTGTATGGGGAAAAATTAACCTGCAGTTACTGATGCAGAGATACCCTTGTAATACAATTCAGATTAAATGTCATTGTGTGTTAGGGCCTCAGCCATTTGCAGGTCAGCTTTTAAAAGGGTGTTCCCAGGACACCCACTGTAGGAAATTTTGAGATCAACAGAGTTGGGGGCCTTTGGACATGGACACTAATTTTCAGTTTATTTTTCAGATTACATGCCATTTTTCCTTAGGATGCTGGCACATACCTAAACCATGCTCTTTTGTAGTACTGTAATCTTGAAGAGTGAAGGAGGCTGATGGTCCCATTATCTTCCTAAGGTTCATCTCTTGTTTCATTCTGTCTAAAAGTAGGCTGATAATAAATCTGGAAGGAAGTAGTGGGAGCTGCAGGAAATTCTTATACTTAATCTGACAAGTGCTGTTGTCAACTGCACATTCAGTACCTGTACAGTAGTTTTACTTCAAAGCACGTTAAGTAGGGTGGTCCCTAAGTACTAGCAAATTAATTTATACTGGATTTTCACTGAATTGGATGTTTCTTGAGTAGCTTTTCCAAAAGCATCTTCAACCTTTGTTTGGGCTTACTTAACCAGTGCATTTGGAGCAGAAGAGTGACTGTTAAACTTACGCATGCCCGCCATGCTTTTATAAAAGGACATCAGTGCACATTCCAGGGTCTTCCAAGGGTTGGACACCCCAAGCATGCTATACCCACATCTTTGCCAGTTATTAATAACTGAATTTCTGTTTCTGTGCGTATTCTGTGGTACCTCCGTTTTTGAAAAAGTTCTTGGCGTCTCCTTGGCAACCACTTGTGGCAGCATGCTTTTTTCTGGAGTTGAGACTGCAATTTGACACTGTTTAAAAGTAGTGGCCTGCTACGTAACAGCACTTAGACAGCATTTCTGCAGTGCATAACTGTGAGGAACGTAGTACCACAAGTGGCAATGGACATTAGGACCTGGATGTAGTATTCCTGCTTGCTCCGAGATTCTCATTGTCGCCTGCATACAGGTAGGTAAAAAGCACTATAATCTAACTTGGTGACTTTCTGTGTAATCTTGCTGTGGGGGTACTCTGGCATCACACTCCTGACCATGGGATTTCAGTGCAGCACTACTCATACTGTATGTTGCTTAGAGTTGAGGCCTAGCCTGCAATCAGCATTAGGCAAGTTAACAGTGATGCTGAGAAGTGTGCCTCAGACCCGTGATTGATTCTTCGTGCATATGACTTGCTTCCATCTTTACTGTGTGCCAAAGACCTTCTCAGAACTCAGTGGGGAGGGGAAAGGGAGTACTACTTGGTAAATACCCTAACTGCTCAAGGTCCCGTTGGTTGCTCATAGGAATAAGTCTTTTCATACATAACAGACTCATGGCAAAAGTCACATGGCAGCTTTTTCTTGGCTAGGCAGATGAATTGATAACTTGCCCAGGGCAAAAAAATGGTTGCTTTACTGAGCTTGGAAGGTGGGGAGTGGTATATTGTAACGGTAGTAGTCAGTTATGTAATGCGTTTGGGTGGTTGTGGGATGTTGGCTATGACACTTGTTCAAACAGTACACTGAAGAATTGATAGCTCCCACTTCACATATTTCATACATCTGACCAAGCTGCTTTTGGTTTATTGGTTGTGGAAAGATATAATGGGGTTACATACCTAACATGTATTACCCTCCAGATTTCTTGGCTTTGTTGTGATAGTTAGTTCAACATTATGTGTTTGTAAGCAGTGTTTCTTATCTGGTTCTTGGCCAATGCACAAGAATAAGCAATATAATAACTCAGAGTTGAAGTATACTTCCGTCATACCTAGGTATTGTATTTCAAGAAAAGATGCTTGCTAATGACCAGGATTCAGCAATGAATCCTTAAGATAACCAGGCTGTGGGCTGGATGAGCCAGTCTTACCCAGTTTGCAAGAGAAAGGTATGCTTGTAATCTGGAGTATGTAAAGTATATAACATTGCAAGAATAGTTTCTTCAAACTAGGACTCCACTGCCAGTGACTATAGCATCACCATGAATTCATTCAAAAACCAGTATGTGTCCTGTGTGATAGGGTTGCAAATACGTTCATCCACAGTAGATCTCATTTGTGACCAATATGTCAAGAATTTTCTTGATGTGTGGGATTTAATCAATAACTGCTCTCTGCATAATTGGATTGAGTTGATACTCTCACTTAGAGCAGTTGAGCTGGAATAAGTCCGTGGACCATATACTTACAGTGCTGACAGGCATATGGTAGATACCTTTACAGGCAGTAACTCTTGTCTGCTCAAATACCACTTTGTGTAAGTGGCATGAAAAATAACTAAGTGCTTGCATTGTGTTCCATTTTAATTTTCATTCTGGTCCGTGAATTGTTTTGATTTCTTGCAAAAGCTGACATCAGAGCTCAGGAGTGTGGTGCCAGAATACATTATGCGTAATCTGCTAGGCCCTCAGTTTGGATTTACTGGTGCTGTCAGGAGAGAAGCACTTCAGAACCTTAAGGGGGAGGGAAACTGATTTACTATACTGAGTGCAAAGCTATTGGCTGCAGTCCCCTAGTCCCACCCCAATAGCTCAAGAAACCAATCTGTGGCTAGCTGTACATTCAAGCAACAAGGGGAGGGTGAACCTCTGCAAATGATTTCCTGCTGAACAGGAAGGCCTGTGGTCACTTGCTCTAAAACGAAGCCCAACATGAAGAGATTGTGCTTTTTTAGGTGTGTTTGGACCATTGGTTGTTTTCCACCATCACAGCTAGCAAGGTTGGAATCAACAGGTCAGTTGCAGATCTGTCTTTATGCCACTTGGTGGGGTTAAGCAAATGCTGCAGGGGTGGGTGCTGGGTGGTGGGAGGAGACTAAGAGGAGACCTCTCCCACTCTGGATTGTTACATTAGCATGTGCCTGTGAAAGCCCATGGTGGGTGTATACAATTCCCCATCAGATAACTATGGCATTGAACACCAGTACAATGGGATGTGGAAAGGGATGGCTGCAAATAAATAGCGAGTGATGGAGAAGAACATGATTTGTGTTACTACATCCTAAAATGTGTGTGTTCCTTCTGTTTTGCAAAAAGATTAAGCCAAGATGTGGACTTGAGGAAACTGGCACATTGACTGGCTTGGCAGTGTCTCCTTACCTTCTTAAGGGCCGTTAAGTGTTAGTTGCAGGTGGAAAGGTTGTCCTTTCACTCACTGTGTGCCCTTAATGAGACTCTGAAGAGGGACTTGTGGGATAGAGGGACAATGGCAGGAGAAAAGTTAGTAGAAATTTTAAGAAAAAAATCCCTATCTGTATTGTGAAGATTCTGAAGACATTTGGACTGGCGTTCAATTAGTACACAGGATGATTTGGTTTATGGGGAGGGGGGAGTATGGCAGCAATTCAGAGAGGCAACATAGTAGTGGAATGCAGTGGCTTTGCATCTGCACATACGGGGTGACACACCTCTGGCTGCAAATACCTCATGCGTAGGCTGGCAGTTGAGGGTTCAGAAGTCATTAGGACTAGCTGCATTTGTTCACTATCCTGTGTTTCAGTCTTTTGAAATAAAGCATTCATCTTCTTGTGCCCCATGCTGCTTCCCAATGACTGTATTGGCATAATTTGTAAACTCCCCTCAATTTACCAATCCATAAGTTAACGCTGATGTTTAAATTTCTGTTTTCAGAAACTCTGCAGTCTGTATTCCCGTGCTAACTTCATTTCTTATTCTTTAGGTGAAGGTAATACCAGCTGGATGAAATCAGAGTGCTGTTCCATGTGAGGTAAGGATCACCGTCAAGTCAAATATAGCCAAGCAGTGATCAGAGGCTAAACCTTTTGAATGGGGGAGATGGACACAGCACAAGGCATAATATTCACCAGCCTTGAACATGTCCGTCATATGAATGTCTTCCAAACCTTTTTTCTCAGACCTCCTCTGTAAGGATCTTTCCATTGTCCCATTTGGTTTCTCTATTCTGACATGCATAAATGACAGCTGTTTTGCAGCTCATAGAAATGGGAGGAGAAACAATAAGGCTCTGTCTACTAACCTGGTTATGTACTTTGTTTTCATAAAATAATTAACTTAGGGATAAACTAGTGATGCAAAGGTCTATCTGAAATCTGATTTTCTTGTGCTTGCGATACTTGTTTCTCATGCTTAGCCCTGGCCTACAAAGCAAACCAAGCCAAGACCAAGTCCTTAAATGCCCAGGAATTCTAGCGGACTCCTTCTTTGCACTAACCCACTAAGTATCCTGAGCAAGCAAATCATATGCAGAATCTGTGAATCTGTAATATGTTACCTACTGGACATTTGCACTAATGTTTGGTGTGAGTCATACTTAGGATGGAGAGAAAGCAAGCCAGAGTTTGAGGAGCTGAGCTGAGAATTCCCACCATCAAATTGGATCTTAGACATCATGGCAATAAATGAAACCATTACTTTTGAGTTGATAATTGCTGAGATAATATGCCATCGTGCGCTGTGGCTTATTTTACTCAGTGTGCAGGCAACACATTGCATATGTAACTTCCACTTACGTTGTGTTGTAAAGTCTTGTGTACAACTTTCACATAATCCTAAAACTGGGTGATGTAAATGAGGGTTGCACATCCAAAATGTTGGTTCTTTGCGGTTTCATGTGAAGAGCTGCTTAGTTTCAGATGTTTTGCTATAACTGATAAGCTTAAGTCCATTTTGTAATCCCCGATCCCATTGCTCTCAGATGTATTGAACTAGAATACTCTTGCCCAGTCAGCATGGCCATAGACCAACACACGTGGAAGGCAGGCACCAGGAGGCTTGCAGGCCTCCCACTCCTGTTTCAGTTGATCAAACTTAAAGCACACACCTGTATGTGGACAGGCCCAGTTTAAATCTGTAGGAGTTGCAGGTAAGTGCAGGATTGTTACATTAGTAGCACAAGTACAGAGGCTTTTAGGCTTATCTTAAACTGTTTGCCTCTGAACCAGAAAATGAGTGACTTCAAGCATGAAAGTGGCTTCTACTTTATATACTCTTCAAAGGACTATTTAATTGAAATGTTAAACTCTGCTTTTCATTTAGGACATCTTGGTTCAGAATTTCAGTGAACTGGCAGAAATCTAAAGGAGAATGTGATGCCAGAAGCCAGGAATAACTCCTGTTTGGAAATGTACTGAAATCTGGATGTTCTTCCTAAAGAATATTCTAATAACACTTCATAGATAACAAAATAAAATATTTCTGATAGAATTCTGAAAATCAAGTGTGGCATAAATTAGTCTGATACATCATGGAACAGCAACCATGGGGTTATAAAAAGCAATGCTAGATCTTTTTCAAAATTTTGTAGCTTGTTTTGAGTTAATTGTTAATATGGTATACTCTGAAGTGATGACTAAGGTATTTTGTATGAAAATAGTTTCTTTTTTAAAAAAACTGTATTGAATCAATCTGAGTTAGTTTTTTGTTTTGCCTAAAAAAGCATTCCACAGTAACCAGCTTTAAAGTTATCCAACCAAGAGTACCTTCAGTGGTAAATTCTAAAGCCTATCTACATTTCGTATTAGTGATACTACAAATCTGCTTTTTCTTACACTAGAGTACTAACCAGCGGATGACCGCATGACAAAATGGAGAGTGGAAAGCACTACACAGTGTGTGGGTAAGTATGAGAATGGTTAGCATGGGACATTGCTGCTGTCCGGGAAATTTTGTATTGCAAACAAGCAGTTTCCTAAATCAATTTGAACCTTTTGTTACATCATGTTTCAAGTTCGATATAGAAGGAAATGTACATTATGCAGAAGGTTGTACCAATTTCAAACTTGGCCTGTGAAAATGCTGATGAATCTTTTTTTTGCTAGGCTTAGTGATGTATACTGTTAAAATGCAAAAGCGAATTCTTCCGTTTTTCTGTAGTGTAGTAGAGGCTATTTTCACATGGCTTGTATCCTTCCATTTGTCCTGATTGGCAAGGTAAGGTAATGTAAATTAGAATTGCTGTCATGTAAAGGAGCAACTTCATCCTTAAAGTTGATAGCTGTTGCAGCTGTGAACTGGCCCTGCCACCTTTTACTGGCTTTTTTCTACTACCTCTTTTTACTCCAGCTTTTCCCATAGTTGCAGGAAAACAAAAACCAAACCCACTTTTTCCCCTTTTTTCTGGTGAAGGACAGCATCCCTGGCATGTTCTGTGGTTTCCTTACGGAGCAGGCATTGCTCCCAGGAGTGAGTTTCTCTGGACAGGATTTCATTAGGTGCCCAGTGTTCATTAGATTTTTGCCCTGTTCTGGATGGGGTTGCACTTTCTCTAAGGGACAGTTTTGGGAGTGCTCCTCTACCTAGAGTTCTTCTTGGGAGTTCCAGGTGATTACTGTGGCGAGGAGCACTTTCCACCAACTTTGGTTGGTCCATCAACTACATCCTTATCTGGATGAGCTGAGTCTAGCAACAGTAGCCCATGCTCTGATAACCTCCTGATTGGACTGTTCTAATCTGCTGTATGTGGGGCTGCCCTTGAAGATGGTCAAGATAGTTCATTTGGTTTAAAATAGAGCAGCTAGGCTTTTGACAGGGATTGACAGGTGTGAAGCCAGTCCCGTACCACCTGCTCTGGCTACAGTTTGAAATCCAGGCCCCATTTAAAGTGTTAACTGTGATGTATAAAGCTAAATGGTTTAGGGCCAGAATATTTGAAAGCGTCTCCTTCCATATACACCTGCCCAACCCCTAAGATCCTCTTCTGGGGTCCTCCTTTGGGAGCCCACATTGAAGGAGATCAGAAGAGTGGCTACTGGGAGAAGGGCCCTTTCTGCAGTTGTGTCCTGGCTTTAGAACTTGCTCCCCAGAGAGGTGTGTCTGGTGCTGGCACATTATTCATTTTGACACCAGCCCAAACCCTTTTTATTTTCCCCGTATTTTAACGTTTAATGTTTTAATGATGGCTTTTATCTATTTGTTCTATTTATTGTGCTTATTGTAATGCCATCTTGAGACCTTTGGCATAGACAGGGTATAAATTTTTTTAAATAAATTAAGATGGATGCTGTTCTCTCCAGTGTAATTGGGCTTTAAATAGGTTAAGGTTTTAATAGCTATTATCAGCCATAAGCGTGCTGCTCAGTCCTGTAATAGTTACTTGAGGGGGAGATCATATAGGTTTTTTAAAATTGGAAAATCTATCTTGAATGTATATCATTGCTTCTGTGCTAGTAGAATCACATTGTATCTAACCGGTTGAATTCAGACTTGGGATTCAGTTTGCTTCAGTTTAAACAGTTAATGTGCCATGTACTATTCAGTGCATTATATTTTGCCCATGTTGCGATATATCAATCCTCAGTAGAAAGAGTTTAACTTGGTGCATTGCTTCTACAGGAGAAAAGAGCTGGTCCTGAACCCAGGAGAGGTGACCAGGGACAGCAAGAACCATTTTGTCAAGCCTGCAATAAATAAATCAAATATTTAAAGTGATTGTGTTTTCCTTTTAAAAAAAAAAAAACCCTCTTAAAATGAGTGCCTTAGTTTCTGCCAGTTCCAATTGTACTATTGGATGTGGCAAAAACATGGGGCTATTACACTGAAGTACTGAATTGCCCAGTACCTTGCCTTTGTTGTGGTCCTTGCAGACAACCTGCTCCAAAATTACTCATGAGTTAAACATGTTTAAGATTAATACAGTCATTCTCACCTAAGTGTGCTTAGGAACCTGATGTTGGGTAGACCAGTGCTTTTCAACCTCCCGTCTGCTGGAGATTTCTTGCAGGTGTGTGTGGGGACTGCATCCTGTTTTCTGTGGACTGGTGTGGGGGCTGGTTGTGCTTCACCTCTTCTTCCTGAGCGTCACTATTGTGGGGGACACACTGAGGGGGGAGCTGGGGAGGGGAGAGATGACTTGGTGGGAACTGTACTCTTAACAGGAAGTTCCTCCTGATGTACAGCTGGAATGTGACTTCATCCGACTTAAGCCAATTACTCCATGCCAAGCCAGAAAGAGAAGAGATCCTGGCCTTCTTCAGTGTGACAGCCTTTGAAGTATTTAAACAATGCAATCACATTCCCTTAGGGAGCTAGTTCGCCCACTGGATAAGTGTGCAAGCTAACGAAGTGGTGCACACTAGATAAGCAGGCAAGCACGAACAAAAACGAGCTAGCAGTTACAGGCAGCCAAACATCTACTCTGTATTAGCACTGTGGATTCTTGGCTAGTTGTTCCATTGCCCTATACTAAAAAAAAATCCCCCCAGTCTTCTCAAGGCTAAACATAACCAGTTATTTCAGTCCTCGAGGGCAGGCATGTCCAAAGTCCGGTCATGGGGCCAATTGCGGTCCGTTTTCAAATTTCGAGTGGCCTGCAGCATCTCCCTGCTGGCTCAGCCTGTCGCTCATCCCCGCCAGCCTGTGTTTTTCCCTTCACTGCACAGCGGTTCCTGCAGCTGTCCCCTGCTGCCTCCTGCTCCTTCAAGGCTGGTGGTTATATTTCACCAGAAGATGGCAGTAGACCAGAGTCAGCACTCTCGGCACGTGACCCTTGTGACAAGGCTTGTGTGCCCATTTCTAAAACGGTGACTGTAACTAAAGTTGACAGGGCTGCCGCTTCCAGGACACGTGGAAATTTGGAGTATTTTTTCACTGAAATATGAAACAACTGTGTCTGCCTAATTTGCCAAGAGACAGCTGTTTTCAAGGAATTCCAAGAGGCACTACCAGACGAAACATGCTAACTACAACAAGCTAACTGGGAACGAACGCGGCGAAAAATGGAAGGAACTGGAAGCTGCTTTAACACCACAGCAGTGCTTTTTCACAAGAGCCCATGAATCAAATGAAAATGCCACAAAGGCGAGCTACGAGGTGGCAACGCTGATTGCCAAGCACTGCAAACCTTTTACTGAGGGTGAAATTATTAAAGACTGCGTGATGAAAATGGTGGAGAAAATTTGTTCTGAGAAGAAGCAAGAGTTTGCCAATGTTTGCCTGGCTCGCAACACTGTGGTATACAGAATTGAAGACATTTCATCTGATATTAAGAGACAGAGGCAAAAGGGAGTGGAGTTTGACTTTTTTTTGTTAGCCTGCGACAAAAGCACGGATGCATCTGACACTGCTCAGTTACTGTTTTTTTTGAGAGGAGTGGACAATGACATGAACGTGAGTGAAGAGCTACTTCACCTCCAGAGCTTTAAGGACCAAACAAGAGGAACAGATTTATTCATGTAGATGACATGAAACTACCATGGAATAAAGTCCCTGGGATTATCACGGATGGTGCACCTGCCATGACTGGCGAGCAAAGTGGATTATCAACCCTAGTCTGTAACAAAGTCAGCGAAGGAGGCAAAGCTATAAAACTCCACTGTATTATTCACCAACAAGTTCTCTGTGCCAAACATCTGAAATATGATCATGTTATGAAACCAGTGATGAAAGCTATTAATTATATTCGCTCCAAAGCCCTGTGCCACCGCCAGTTTCAACAGTTTCTATTCGACATCCAGGCTTAATACGGAGATGTTGTGTATCACGAGGTAAGATGGCTCAGTCGGTCTGCACTGCAGCGCTTCTACTCTTAGGGAGGAAATCGGACAATTCTTGGCAAAAAAAGGGACAACTGATGCCAGAGCTATCTGATCCTGTTTGGCTGGCTGATTTTGGATTTTTAGTTGACATCTGAACGTGCTGAACACGAGCCTTCAGGGGCAAAATGCTGTGGGTAAGCCAACTGTATTCACATATCAAAGCCTTTGGGACCAAGCTGCTACATTTCCAAAGGCACCTGTCACAAACGCAGCCCAATACCACACATTTCCCATTGCTGCAGGAAATAATGACCAGTTTTCCACAGAACAAATATGAGTCTGCAAATGAGGTATGAAGCAGACATCTCTGGCTGAGGAGTTTCAACAGCGCTTTCGGGATTTTGCAGCTATTGAAAAGGAGATCACACTTTTTTCATCTTTCTCTGTGGACCCTGATGACACTCCAGACCACCTGCAACTGGAGCTCACTGAGCTGCAGTGTGACGCCGAATGTCGCAGTCGGCACCAACAGCTCCCTCTTGTCAACTTTTACCGCCAGCTGGATAAAGACAGGTTTCAAGAGATTCGAACATTTGCTAAGAAAATGCTGAGCTTGTTTGGTTCGACATACTTGTGCGAGAAGACATTCTCGGTTATGAACATTAACAAGAACCACGTGAGGATGAGACTAAGTGACTTTCACCTGCGTGACATCTTGAGCATCAAAACCACTGTTTTTGAGCCAGACCTGGCCTATATAATGCAGTCGAGATCTCACTATCACCCTTCACATTAGTGCAGTTAAGTTATTTGTTTAGTCTTGCATAAAATAGTTCATTTGCATTTAATGTTAATGGTTCAAAGAATGTCAGGCTGAATGGTCAGCCCCCACACAATTTCACCTCACCAAATCTGGCCCTCGCAAAAAGTTTGGACACCCCTGCTCTAGGGCTTTGTTTCCAGTTCCCTGATCATCGTAGCTGCCCTTCTCTTGAACCTTTTCCAGTTTGCATCTTTGCAAACTCGGGAGACCAGAACTGGCCACAGTACAGTGAGGCCTGAGGAGAGCCAATACATTGTGTGATTTGAAAGCAATTCTATCAAAGCAGTCCAATATAGCAGGTTTTTTTGCAGCTGTATCACATTGTTGACTCCTATTCAACTTGTGATCATTTCTAAGATACGTTTAGCTTGTATTGTTGAGTATAATCTCTCACATCTTCATTTTTATATTGCCCAATAGCCAAAGGCTCTGGGTGGTTGAAAAAGGTAACATAAGAAAGACAACATGAACAATAAAACAGTAAAGCAACAAAACCACAGCAATTGCAATCAAGTTGGTATAGAGGTACAGCAACAGTACAGAATAAAATGGCAGTGTTAGAACTAAGATTTAACAGTTAACTTAAAATTTGTAGTTGTGCATTTGGTTCTCACAGGTATAGAAATGGGCATTTGTCCCTTTTGAATTTGTTTTCAGCCAAGCACTTGAACCTATCAAGATCACTTAATTTTGTTTCTAACTTCCCCAGGCTATCTGTGTGCAAGTTTAAATTTAGAAGATGCTGTTCATGGACTACTTCATATAAGGAGGCTACTTGCGTGGTCAGTTAATGGTTTAAATAAGCTAGGTAGACCAGTGCACACACATTCTCCCAAAAACAATATTTTTGGTTCAAACTTGACTGTAACCCTAAATACATGGGATCTGCTTGCTTAACCTCAAGCATCTGCACTACTTAGAATATTAGTGAGGGAACTACAGCTGAATGTTTCTTCGGTACATTTTGTTTGAAAAGAGGGAAATGATCTCTAGCTTCCAGCAGGCAGGGACAAAGCAAGCACTGAATCTTGATTTACCTAATGAGCCATTTTTCCAATTCATTCAATATGATATGACCATTTTAAATTCAGACATGAGCTTGTTTCCAAATGTGTGTCAAAGATTTAGGGTGCCAGAGTGATGAAGATAGGCTGGACAGAACATAGAAACAGAGTCAGAAGGGGTCTCCTGGGCCATCTGGTCTGACCCCTGGCTCCAGCCGGCTCCGCTCACAACATGCCCACCATGTACATGTCCAGCCTATCCTTGAACACCCGCACCGATGGGGCCTCAACGACCTCCCATGGAGGCCCATTTCATACCCTCAGGGTCCTAACTGTCAGGAAGTGCTTCCTGGCATGTAAATGGAACCTTGGTTCCCTGAGCTTTGCTCCATTGGAGGGCAACCTGCCCTCCTCTGCAGGGGAGAACAGGTTTCTACCCACCTCTGTGTGACACCCCCTCACATACCTGTATGTTGCCAACATATCCCCTCCGAGTCTCCTCAAGGCTGAAGAGACCCATCTCCCTTAGTCTCGCCTCATATGGCATCCCCTGCAAACTGGCCACCAACCTTGTGGCCCTACGCTGCACTGACTCCAACCTGGCTATATCCTTCCTGTAATGGGCCCAAAACAGCACAATACTCCAGTTGTAGGCGCACCAGAGTCGTATAGAGTGGTAGTAATACCTCTTTCAATCTAGAAGCCACGCTTCTGGCTATGCAACCAAGGGTGGCATTCGCCTTCTTAACCACCGCATCACACTGCTGACTCATGTTTAGCCTGCAGTCAACCAGCACCCCAAGATCCCTTTCACAAGTGCTGCTCTCCAGCCACTTGTCCCCTAACCTGTACTTATGACACCCATTCCCATGCCCCAAGTGCAAGACCTTGCACTTTTTCACATTCAACGCCATCCTGTTGTCTCCTGCCCACTTCCATAATCTGTCCAGATCCTTTTGGATCTGGAGTACCTGCTCCTCAGTTGTGGCCACTGCTCCAGTTTTAGTGTCGTCTGTGAATTTGATCAGCAGACTGTTCACTCCTTCTTCCATGTCATTTATGAAAAGATTAAACAGGATCGGCCCCAGGACAGAGCCCTGGGGGACCCTGCTTGTCACTGACCG